AATAAAGAGTTATTTGTCCAGATTCAAATGGCAAGACAATGGTGTGGGTAGGAAAACTTGTAACTTTACCCTGTGGATAAAGCTAGCAACCCCTCCTTCATCTATTTTTTCTACAAGGTTGAAAACACAACAGGCTTATAGAAATCAATTTGTAATTAAAATCCAGGAATGGATCCAGTTATGATAGAAGTAAGACGCAGGGTTCCCCATTTCAGGTAAGGAGTGATATAAAAGAAAAATACCATTCATTCTCCCTGAAGGAGGGAGCAGGCTTCTCACTACTTCCTGGCGCTCACTATGTTGACCAGACTGGCCTTGAACTCACAGAGATTCACCTGCCTCTGCCTCCCAGAGCTGGGATCCAAGCGTGTGCTACCAGGTTGCTGGATACTGTTTAGGCTGCTCTCCAGAGTCTATTTGTCTTGCTTTTAAGCAGCTGATTTTCCCTTACCTCCTACTTTCTTCTCTGCCTGCCACTGCCCCACCTCTGACCTAATAATGGTGACTTAATTCCTGAGAAGGGCCAACTCAATTGGAAGCAAAGATAAGAATCAAATTAATCTAGTTAGTTCCCTGTTAACAAAGGCTTAAATCTGGAAGAAAAATCAGAGTGTGTTAACACCTGATAACTATTTGGCATATTACAAGGTGCTTTCCTGTTATGTCATTGGAACCTAACTAAAACTAAGACGTTAATGAAGCACAATCACTATTAATGTCACCTTTTTAAAAATGAAATAGTTAGCACCTGCAAACTTGGAACTAAACCCAGGACTGTACTTCTAATCTAGAACTCTAACATGGAAGTCCTGCTAAAAATCCCTGCACAGTACTTAAACAGGCACCCCTTCCTCACTCCATATTTCTAACCCTGGGTGTGCTAGCTGCTGGTCCAGCCCTTGTCTCTACCTGCAGGATGTAAATCTGGATAAAGCCACACAACTAATTAGGAGGGCTGGAATTACATCAACTCAAAATGGTAATAATTGGATGCCTCATGGGAAATTGAATAAAATATTCCATAAAAGTAAAAATTGTCTGAGGAAACTAATGAAAGAAGGAGGCAAAGGATGGGTGAATTAGGGAATCAGAATAGGCAAACTTCCCACCTCTCAGAGTGGAGAGTTGCTGTGAACTATGTAAAGCAGCATACCAAGTAGAAGCATTACATAAGTAAATCATCATTAAAGTAGCAACAGTCATTATAAGCAAATTTTATTAAAATTAATCATGCATAAGTAGTGAATAAAGATAAAGTAGATTATTTGCTTAAACAAATTTCTATCTAGGGACTAATAATAATATATTTTAGAAAGATAGAAATGGGGATGAAGAGACAGCTCAGTAGTTAAGAGCACTGACTTCTCTTGCAGAGGACCTGGGTTCAATTCCCAGCACCCATGTGGCAGTCAACAACCATGTATAACTCTGGTTCCAGGGGATGCAACACCCTCTTCTGACCTCCCCAGGTATTGTACAGCATGGGTACACTTACACACATGCAGGCAATAGACTCATACACATAAAATAATAAATAAAATATTTTCTTAAAAAGATAAAATTAAGGATATTGTATTCAGTTATACTTAAAGTTACCAGTAGAAAAAGATACAGATTTTCAATTTATAAATCCACTTAGTTAAAAAAAATTAAATATAAAACATTTGGTAACATGCTTCTAAATTATAATAATAAACATTCGACAAGTGGTAGAACTAAGACCATAACTATTATTTGAATGTATTTAAGTAGTTTAGTTACTCCTGGAAACAAAGAGACCTGTATGCTAGATATGTAAGGTAAAATTTAATTGTATGTTATGTGTAAATATATAACAAAGTCTAAAGATTCAGAAAGTTTGTTAAAGAGTAGGCAATAATATTGGAAGACTCAGCAGAGTATGCATTTTATAATTAAAAATATATTAAATGTATATAAAGATTTGTATATAAAACAAAACAATAACAACATTCAGAATGTAAATTAACAAAAGTAAAACAATCACCATGGTAACAGGAAAATGTAATTCTTCTATTTCGGTCTTTAATGGATCAAGTAGCCAAAAACTTACTAAACAAATGGGAAAAGAAAGAAAATATAAATAACACAATGGCAGTATAACTGAGTTCTGTTTATCAAGCTTGAAATATAGAAAGCAGAGACAGCACTTTCAAATATTTGTGGAACTGATTTTTAAAGCATGGTTATTTTCATGTCAAATATTCAGTAAGTTATAGAAAGTAGAAACAGTTGGAAAAGGTTTCTCTGAACACATTCACTAAAACTGGAAATTAACAAAATTTAAAGAGGTTAAAAACTCAATTTTAAAATTTCTTCAATCTATTCTCATGTCAGAAAGGAAATGAACAAACAGAAATAGCAGGACATCTATATAATAGACAGTGCTACACATCTAAAACAGCGACAGTGACATACAGAGCCTATGTATCTAACAAAAATCACCATCGGTGAATTAAAATTTCATGTGAAGCTTCTGAAAATGCATTATGTAAAAAATAGAACAGTGAGAACACAGCGATATAGAGAATAATGAAAAAACAAAGTAATGCATTTATGAACGAGCAAATTCCAAGGTGGTACTTTAAAATTTGCCAACCAATCAACTCTCCATTATCTAATTGTCTAGCCACACAAGAATGAAAGGTGTTATATACAAAATAACGTTCTATTAATTTTGTTCTAATTACCTCTTCTCTTGCTTTTTCAATTTAGTAAATATTTACAAAATGGAACACAGCAAATTATCTAGTAAAATACAAATAACAGTAATTTGTCATAAATGAGAGAGAAATCTAAACATGCCAGTTATTGTAGAGAAAGGTGAGAAAGTTGTAGTTTACTCTGCTTTTAAAAGCACATTAGTGGGTAGGAAAGTAATCATCAGTCTTACCCAGCTGTGAAACTCAGAGTCACAGCGGCAACCAGCCTGGTAACATGCCCACTGGTATAACAGCAGTATGAATGTTATGGAGAAATCAACCACATTCTGACTGAATTTAAGGCTTGCTCCACAAGATGGAACTCATGCCTGGCACTGTTAACAGAACCAAGAACCCATGTCTAGATAGGTCAAAGGTCCTAGCAGAGAACCTATTGCTATTATTCTGCTAAAAGGATATAGTACTAAACCAAATCCTAATGACTTAGTGTTATGACCATAGATTAGTGCATCTTCCAATGCTCATCTTCTTTTTGCAGTAGATGACGATTAACACAGAGACCCACAACTGGTCAACATGTAAAGAATACAACCCTGTCGAGTGCTCAGCCCTAACTGGGACATCTATATTACACCCTTCTTTTTGCAGTAGATGACGATTAACACAGAGACCCACAACTGGTCAACAGGTAAAGAATACAACCCTGTCGAGTGCTCAGCCCTAACTGGGACATCTATATCACACCTCTTTCTCCAAGGCTCAGGAATCATCATGGAAGAGGGAGTGGGAAGATTGTAAGAGCCAGAGGGAGTGGATAGCTGCAGCTAACTCTGTTTCCTGGAAACAAGAGAGCACACATGAACTCATGGTAGTTGTGACAGCATGTACAGACCCACATAAGATCAAGTAAGACAAAATCCCAACATGGAAGAAAGAGGTGGTCACAAACTCCCAAACTTAGTGGAGGAACTATTGGCAAATGATGGCTTCTGGGAGAAGGAGACGGGCTTTCTTCAAGGATGCAGCTCCTGAGGAGCCATGCTTCTGTGGACGGCCCTACACCCATGCGTATACTGGCAGCACTAGGTGGACACAGTGTGTTTGAAAAGAAAGAAAGAACACCTTAAATTGGGAAGGAATAGTGGGGAGTGGTTGAAGGGGACCTGGGTTCTAGTCCCAGGACTCACATGGTAGCTAACAATGGTCCATAACTTCAGTTCCAGGGTATCTAACACCTTCTTTTGACTTCTGTAGATACTGCATAACACAGGCACACTTACTTACATGCACTCATACACAAAAAAATAGAAATAAGTAAAATATTTTTTAAAAACAAAAAATATTCTGTGGTATTTAAATATTTTTAAATGTGTTTATATTATTTTTAAATCCCCTGGTTCTACATGTTAATAAACTATATGAATTTATCACTTCTTCTAGCCATGAAGACAGTAATTAAAAAGTTTTTCAATATGGTAAACTATGTATAAGGAAAACCAAATGCTTATTCAAGGTGTTTTATTTTTTTGTATCAATAAAAGAGTTCTCAGTATGTGCCAGGGCCAATGTGAGGTGCTTAATGGACAACAGAACTGGCACCTGCCTTCAGTAAGTTAGCAATTCTATGGGAAGAGTTCACCTTCAGCCTTGGAGAAAGATGGCCATCCTTCTGGCTTACATCGAAAACGTTTAGGAAATGCATGCCTTTCCAAGATCAACAGTACCCAGTTCAACAATCCTGCTCCATAGACCTCACCCAGCCCCTTGTTAACTGTCAGCATCTCTGAGACAGTCGAACTCCAGGGAAGAGTCGGGAAAGGCACAAAGCTATCCAGTGGGTTCTGGCCATCGGGTTTTATGGAATAACTTGAATTCTCAACAGCATCACACACACACACACACACACACACACACACACACACACACACATACACACACACACACACACAAATACCCTTACTCTTTTAACTTTGGTTCTTCTTCCCCAATAACTCGGACACAACAACAAACAGTGGCTGAAGGGGTTCTCCAGAAAGACATCTTTGTCTGCCATGTGAATTCTGTGAGATCTTTTTTCTCTGTATTCACATCTCTTCCTACCTTACATTTAGCTATTTATGTATCCGGTTCTCATTGCTTTAGGTTGTATCTTCAGTGCTGACGTACAATAGGAACTATTACAATTATTTGATAAGTTTAACAAATAGAACTTCCCTCTGACTTCTTGCATCTTACATGACTGAGCCACATTTGTTATTGATTTCCCCACATGTTCTCGCTTGCTTCATGCCTTCTCCAAGTCTGAGGCATTATACTCACTTGTCAAAAGACATCCGTGGGAAGGCAAATGTGCCCAGGCAGACACGACAGACAGCACTCAGAGGAACGTGCTGTACTTGCACACAGCTTAGCATGATGAAATCGTATTTGCAGATCAGGAGGGTCTTGTCTGTGAGCAGCAGGACCTTCTCCTTCTCATTGTTCCAGTGGTCTATCCTGCAGGAACCAGCACAGAGGAGAAGATTGACCATAGAGCCTCTCCAAGCTGAAGACAATAACACCCACAGAAACATCTAGCAGAGAGGACAGTAAGGCCTGAGGCCCAGAAGAAAAGGGACTAAGAAATGCCTGGTATCACACCTTGCCTTTTTGACCCCAGGTTCAAGGACTAAAGGAAGGCAAAAGATGACAGGAAAATAATTTATCACCACAGAGCTCAAGATGGTTAGCTATTGGACAGATCCATTAGAAGAATGCCAAGTTTGTATGGTGTTGGCCTTCAACCATTTTATAACTCACATCCTTTCTGCTCTCATGGAAAACTTCATGTAGTACATGAAGGGTACCAAAAATGTCTTTGTTCTAACTCAGTCTGCACCACAAAATGTACTTACTAACAACTGCTTGCACTGATCTCCAGAAACCACTTTTAGAATGTGGAGATAAAACGGAGACTTAAATGCAGACCACCGCTATTCAAACTTATCCTACCACATCCTTCTGGTAAATATATAGCCAAGCAAGTGACGCACACTCCCAATGGGGCAAAAAACAGCTACTGGGAAGTGTTGACTGATTAGATTTTCTCCCAAAATGAAAGCCTTTCAGGGCACACATAGGCAATTCTGGTTAAGTTAAGGATTCTTCTGAGAGAAAACAAGAAAGAAAATAATGGTTCTGATTAAAAGAAACTGAGAATCTTCTGCAATTCTCAGCCCACAGTTGCTGTCCTGTCTAGGTGGCATGTCTTTCAGGAGATAAGACTTTATGGCCTTAGAATTATTTACTCTATATGCCTTGTGACCAATTCATATCTATGTTCTGACCACATGAAATCAATCTCATAAATGAATGACGTGGGAACCCTACTCCTAACTATTCCCTAAACAGTATCCACAGGTCAGTTGCTGAGATACTACTGCACAGTATTGCTTCCTTCACTGTACTGCACAGTGTCCCTTTGATTTAGGATAACATCCAGGATTTCTAACACAAACCATAGGTCTTTGTTTGGCCCCGCCTCTTGCACAGGGTCTTAGACAGCAGAGAGAAGGCTGTGTGTTCAGGTCATGGCCCAAAGTCATGAATTTCTTAAGCTACTTTATAAATCTGTCCCTTTATTATGCTGTCTGAAAGCATCCTAATCCTTTCTCTTCTTAGCATATAGTTACATAATTTGCAAGAAAGAATAATATACGAAGTGTTTAGCAATGGGTACCGTAAGGATACTGGTGATACAGAATAAACACTGTCTTCTGCATGACTACACTAAATACATATTGTCTGAGCTAATAAATGAATGTCAGTTATAGTCATTTTGGCAGCCTTTGGGTGATATAACTGTAAGGAAAACGTGCAGTTCTATCAGTTAATAATCCTATAAGATTAGAGTTTTAAACCTCTTTTGACTTTGATAACTTCTCTGTGAAATGAATACAATACTTTCCTCATAATTTGGAGGTGAGGACTATGGAAAATGATTCATTTAGGGCTCTAAAATTAGCGATGGTAATTATTAGTATGGACTTAGGTCCTTACGGGACTATGGATACATGTCACTTCTCACTGGAATCTAAAGACAGGTAAGAAGCAATTAAGAGGTGGGAGGAGGAACTGGAAGAAACATAAAAGTGGAAAATGGAGATAAAGAAAGACAGGGAGGCGCAGGAGGAGGGACAGAAGGCTGAAATAGTTGACTGAGGCCCTGGTGCATGCCAGACATTGTACATATTAGCTCTACAACTGCCCGCAACCCTCTGAAGGAAGTTATATCCAAATGAAGTCAGAATTACAATATTACAATATGGTGGAAAGAAACAGCCTCGAATCCAAAAGATCTGGTTTAAATCTTGGTTCTGTGGTTTCCACCCACTCTAACACAGTGATATTCAACTCCTACTTCACTAAGAGAAAGAGAATTCTTGATAGTCGGCTTAACACTTTCCATCTTAGTCAGGAAGGGATGAGGAATCTGAAATGTCTTATCAGATATCTACATAAATTTCTCTAAATAGATTGTATCTACTTAGCAGTATGTTATAAGCTGCTGCCTAATAAACCAGACTTGTTTTAAGTCTGAAAAAAAAAGGAACCCCGCAGTTTTCAGTTGAATGGTTTTACTGAAAATGTCAGCACTCCATAATGAGATTTATTTTAAAAGGTAAAGGATTCTGGTGGCGGGGGGGGGGGAGGGGGGAGATTTCTTTTTAGGAACACAGAGTGCTCTGCTGTGACTCTGCATAATTTACATGTGGAGAATGTCTGAATCCAAGTAAACACTTGGGCCTATAAATAGTTCAGAGTCACCATATCCAGCTCCTAGGTTGTCTATTTATTTAGTTAGGCTTCAATCATGTCTTCATTTCTTAAAGAACTCATGAAAACATTGAACTATATATTCTTGGTATCAATACCCTTGAAGTTCGGATGGAAAGCATAACAAATACAGAAATAGGAATCACAGTAACACCAGGAGTCTGTGAAGTTCATGGAGGTTTACCAGGCCTTGGACATCAATGCGCTATTGAATCCTCACAATAACCCTTTCAACTAAGCATGACCACCTTCATTTTAAAGATAAGGAGACTGAACGCCACAGACCCTTGAAATGGCACACTCAGTGTTTACACACAGTAAGCAGTAGTGCCTGGAACAAACACTGAGAAATCAAATCTAAGCATGATGTTGGCTCTCTTTCCCAGCCATCACCACTTCCAAACAGAGTACCTTGGTGTGTGTGGAAATGAGCTCAAATCCACCTCTGCAAGGAGCAGATGTGACCAGACAAGCCACATGGGAAAACGTTCTCCCTAGCTAACTTCCCACACTCCTGCCTGCCCCTTCCCAACCTTGTTATTCATTCTCCCCCATCTAGGGAAAGAACTCTACCCATTTATGTAAGATACAGGCCTTGGAGGTGTTCTTTACAGAGAATATTTCATCACTTTGCATGCTAATTCCTAACTATTTCACTACAAAACGTCTGACCCACCCACTCCTGCCCACCTCCTCTGTCATCACTCTGGCTGAGACTTCCATTGTCCTCCCCTGCACTATTGTGATCCCCTGCTCCCTAGACCTGGTGTCACTGGACCTGCCTTAACTACATCTGCTTTTCCTTCAGATCTCTGTACCTACCTCGGTGAGGACTGCCTTTTGTTTGTTTGTGGGGGTTTTGTCTTTTTTTTTTTTTCTCTTAGAAAATAAATCTGTTTATTCTTCAGTTGCTCTGACTTAAACATTTCAATACTGTCTCATGGCTCTTACGATAAATGACAAGAAAAATTTTTAGTTTTATTTTAGGTGGGACAGAAGTTGAAACAAGTTCTCCTTCTACAGCCCAGGCTTAGCCTTGAACTTATTAATCACGCAACGCTGGCCTCAAACTTGAATAACACTCTGCCTCAGCCTCCTAAGTGCTGGGGTCACAGGTATGTTCTACCATGCCCAGTATAAAAATGACAAAAATCCTTCACCTGGTCTAAAAGGCTCTGCAGGATCAGGCCCCATCTCCTTCAACTTCATTTTAGACCCATCCTTAGACTCTGCTCTCCCTAGAATGATTTCAGCTTTTTGTGTTCTCTGTGCCCTTTCCAATACCCGGGCATTTGCACATGCTGGCCTCTTTGCTGGCGGCAGTCTTGATCTTCTTTGTCTATCTGACTCCTACGGGGTTGAGCCCCACCCCTCCTGACTGCAGCACAGCTTCCCAGTCCTCTGTGACTGCTTCTTTCCTTTCTTATATGCAATCTAATAGTCCTGTTATTTCATTTTCATGGTTCTTATCTCACATGGAAATTTATAGTTATTTTTACGATTATATAGTGTGTATCTCTCTTATCCTGCACTGTGTATTCTGCAAAGGCAGAGCCAAACCTGACCACTGCAACTCCAAAGTCATGAGAGTTTAGCAAGTATTCCTGAAATGAAAGATAAAGAATGAACAAGGTTCGCTCAGTGCAGCCTGTGTGTCTTGGTTCATGCTGTTTGTGAATTCAATCTTCATTTTCAACACATTAGAATGCCCCTCCCCCTATAAAATAGCACATCGAAAATCAGTAACTGTGGTGAAATTTCATGTCATAATAGTGAGAAAAGGCAGGATAATAGAGGCTACCTACAGTAAAGTTCCAAATTTGTAACAACAGCAAGATACTGCATCCACCAAAATTTGAACATTCATTATTAGATTACGTTCAAGTGTTTTCCTTTCTTTCATGTGCTTTTATTTACCAGTGCTAAATTTATTTATAATGATAATATATTTAAAATATATGTATATTGTATGTTTGCACATGTGTGCAGGGAGGTGGATGTGTGCACCTCCACTTATGTGTGGAGGCCAGAGGTTGAAAGCAGGTATCTTCCTCCTTTGCCTTTCCACCCTATATTTTGGACAGGAACATTGGCTAGACTGACTGGTCAGTATACCTGAGGATCCTTCTGTGTCTCTGCCTCCTGGGTGCTGAGATTACAGGCACTAGCCATCATGCCCAGCTTTTACATGGGTGCTGGGGATATGGACTCAGGTCTTTATGTTTGTGCTAACACTTTACTGACTGAGCCATCTCTTCAGTCCCCCAAATAGATGCTTTTAAAAATAGAAAATGCCATCTATCATTCGAGGTCCCATTTTCTATGGAGCCCTGCCCTCCAAGTGGGTGTCATCTTTCTACCTTTAAAGGGCACTCAAACTGCTTTCAGTCCCTCCACTGTGGTCCTAGTCACAGTCTTCTCCATATTACAGTGATTTATGAACTCCTCCAGCCCTTTCCTCTCCACACATGTTGAATGAGAGGTTCTTTAGTGCAAAATCTGTGTCAAGTTCATAGCTGGGTCTCTGCACTGTGCCCAGCACAAAGTGAATTCTCAGCAAATGACAGCACGTAGTAAAAGAATAAAAACATGGGGCTGGAGAGATGACTCAGCAGTTAAGAGCACTAGCAGCTCTTGCAGAAGACCTGGGTTTGGTTCCCAGTAGCCACATTGTGGCTAAC